TTAAAAAATGCTATTCTAGCTTAATGTATTTCTATAACACAAAGACTATGCAATTGTTAAAATTAGCTCAAGGTTCAGAAAAACCGCTCATTTCTCAGGCTACCGCCTGCAGCCGTAGCCAGTTGAATTTGAGATCATATACTTGCTTTTCACCTGTGTTTCTACTTGACGACGTCCAGCCACTTGCTCTAATAACACAGCTTTTCCAAAATTCTCTCCCAAAGCTGCGTCATAAAAGTCAAGGAGAATTTTACAAGGTTTACCCCACTCATTCATTTTTAACAGCTTGATAACCGCTTGTTTTTACTCCCCTCACTGATGTTGTAACGCGGAGTGGTAGGAAGAAACAGAGGTAGATCACTCAATTTAAATTATGAAATCAAAGCGCTTACAGTAATCTAATGAATGTAAAGCTTAATGCTTTCACATGCTATGATTATACTGATGGCAGGGCACGATCTGAAGTGGAACAGCAGCCTAAGCATTATTGGAGGGCATGGCTGGGTGTCGTGCGTTAGATACCGGTGCTTTCTCTGGCGAGAGCATGCCAGACAGTTGGTCTGCGGTTATCAATGAAATCCAGTGAGATGGAGCCTGATGCCGAGCGCATCTCAAGCCCCGCCCGCTTCCTGCTTTTACGACGGCTACGTCATATTGCGGCCGCTATCTCAGCGCCGCCCAGGAAGTGTAATTTAGCGTCTCGTCGTCAAAAAACTTAATTATATTAAGCCCCAAAGATGGGATGATTAATAATAGATGTGTCTATGTTCTCAGCAGCATAATAAGAAGATCGGTAGTATTTCTCCGTCAACAACCAATTGTTGACGGTATTAAGGTCAATTATTTTGAGGCATACACACCAGCTCCATTTTAAATAGGACTAGTCCGAATTGAAGCAGAATAGGATTCGTTTAAAAGTATGGGAAGAAATGCACAATTATTGTTCATTTCCCAGACGCAAACTGGCACAGTTTTGATTTTCCGAAACAGGATTATACATTTCCTGAACTACGCAAATTCATTATAGCTAGCTATAAAACTATAAAATTTGCATGAATCTTAGCATAAATATATGCAACGAATGCGAAACGCAAAAGAAGTCATCCGTCTACTTTTTCAAAACTCCCACTTTTTGGCTACCGGTAAAGTCTTAACAATGTTGCCGATGATAAGATTTAAAAGAAAAACGGTACAATGAATGATGCTGTAGAACTAAGATGTGACAAGGTATTATTATGCACTGGACTCATCAACTATCACTGCTTCTGTTCATGACATCTTCCTACACGAGAATAAACTCGGGAAAAATGCCTTTCCGTAAATCTCTTTACGTCCAAAATTCCGAGCTAATACTTGCAAGGCTGCACCTTTTTGACGAGATTATGTAAATTCTTGTGATCTTTGGAGAAAGCTGAGGTAAAGTTGAGTATT